AGAGTATGAAACGGCAAGAAACCTATTCACAAATCTTTGTGTATGAATAGCAGAACAGGGACAGTGAGGTATAATAAAGTTAAGTTACTAAAAACAGGATGTCATGGAGAGCCATGTTTGCACATATACTGAAGGAATATGGCACATCATATAAAAATAACAATTCTAACACACACAAACTCATGTATATATATATATATATATATATATATATATATATATATATATATATATATATAGTTTGTCTGACGGTCGCTAAAGCGTGAAACCAGGGTCACAAACTCACATCTATCCAACCAAATATGTTAGCTCTATCTCTGATATTGAGCGCTTTCTAATAAGTACCTCGCATATAATATATAAATAATTATACATATATATATATTTATTTATATTTATAGACACTTTTCACACACACACACACACACACACACACACACACACACATATATATATATATATATAGGTAAAAAACTGTGATAAGTAATTCAAGTGAATCCTAGTAATACAAATTATTAAATCTGATCCACAGTAGAGAGCTCAGTATATTTATTATAGAGAATATATGAATTACATGTAGATAAAATTCAGTGCCCCGTATAATATATGGCCATTTCGCCCTGAATGGGCTTTTCAACACCAAGGAGCTACATTTTTATCTAACTGCTTGGTGTTGAAAAGCGCGTTCGGGACGAAATGCCCATATATCATACGGTGTATAGAATTTTATCGATTATTATATTAATAGGATTCACTTGGTTTACTTACCACGGATTTTTACCTGTATGTATATATATATATATATATATATATATATATATATATATAGAGAGAGAGAGAGAGAGAATGTGTAGATAATGACGCACAATGGAAAAACTTGTACTACCAACACGTTTCGCCTCCTGACAGGGGTCCTCAGGTTAGAATGAAAGGCAAATTCTGTGTGTAAAGAATGTGTAGTTGGGATTTTTCAGGAAGAGTTTATAAATGACCCTATCATTATTATCTGAAGTAAGGACCAGAAAGTATTTTCTTTTCTCGTATTTCATGTCTGTTGGAATTTAAATTAGCCCACTCCGATTGGGATCTGTTTTTTTCTCTATTGGTATACCGCTTTATGCTACTATTGCTTTACGAAAATACGGCGATATTGTATACGAGTCCGGACTGTATTTACCACAGATTTGTCAGATCAGTCCACTTTCAATCTATTTTCTTGTTAGTGAATTCTATTCTCTCCTAATCGGCATGGATCAAAATTGTTGTCAGGTGTTGGGGTGAATTGTCAATGCGTTTGAAGTGTTTTTATATAGAATAGACCCCTTCAATGTTCATATTGTCTTTTTTTTAGATTCCTAGATGTTTCGCCAATATATGCTATTGAGCATCTCACGTAGTTTATTTTATATATGCCTATCTCTGTTCTTTTGTTGTTGCTATTTCGTTTGGTGATGACTGTTTTATTGTTTGGAGAGATGGGGTTGATGAAATTTAGATCGTTTCGTTAAGTTGTTTTCGATGGTAGTTATAAACTTGGTGGATAGAATTATGCACCTAATTTTTTTTTCCTTTTATTTTTCCACATTTTTCAGAAGATATACATCAGTGCACCGACATTTATTTTCATTTATTTATTAATCCATTGACATGCTTGAGTTTTATAATTTCCACCTTCTCCGCCATACATAGATTACAGTTTGCTTCTCTAGTTTTCTTCATCTTTTTTATTATACTAGCAGTATAACCTGTCTTCGATCGGGTCTTTCATTACTGGGAATTTTTGCCGTTCAATTGGAGCTGTTTAAGTTTAAAGCCATCCCACCTGAAAATCAATATTGGTTACAACATTTGGGTGCAACTGAGACACATCCCCAAATGGGGGTTAACAATTTGAATGAGGGGGGGCTGAAATGGGAACTGTATAATAATAAATAATATTATTGCAATAATTTAAAGTATTTTTTTTATTAAAGTTTTTATGAAAGATATTGTCGTGGATTCCGAGATGAAATCCGGTCTCAAATGAATGACAAACGCAGGAATGAAATATAGCAAATAAATGTATTGACGTAATAATACAATTGGTAATACGGTTAGTAGATCCAGAAATGCGGTTAGTAGCAATAATAATATATATACAGTCTGGGAAATTCAGTATCGAAGTATGACTTCCTTCTGAGTCTACGTGCTCGCAACTGTGACTCCTACAAAGCGGTTACCTCACTCTCTCACTGTATCAAGGTATTTCCCATCTAACTTCCGGGTATTCACCGGCAGCAGTACAAGTACACACTGGTTGAGTCCACTTATATGAAAAAGGGGTGGAACCCATAACAGATATATATCAAAGAGCAGATAGTAAATAGTAAAACGTTGCTGAGAGTTATAATGGACAGGAAGTAGTGGAGAGCCATTGTTGCCAACAATTTAGACTCAAAACCGGCACTGAAGAATTATCTATCAAAAAAAAAAGAAAAGAAATCATCAAAATCGGATGAAAACAGTGGAAATGCATAAACATCCGATCACACACATACATGCACACACATTTTGAGAATTATAGATATAGATTCCATTGTTGGACTGAAGTCTATAGGTAAATAAAACTTGCTCAGGCTTATTGGCATCTTTTGATGATACAGGTAAGTATTAAACACAATATGCTTGTGTGTTTGTAAAATTTCAGATATAACTAATAATATATATGTAAAAGGACAATATCGATAAAGATAAATAGAAAACTTAGTCGACGTGCTTCGCCCTCTGATGGTATTTATCAAGGCATATGTCAGTCAGTCATTTAAGTGTCGTACGTGATACATGCTTGGACGATCATGTTTCTTTCGATCCATGACTAACAAGGCAGAAGTTCTTCCCGTAGTAGGGAGTTTATTTTGCAACAAGTATTTATAAACAAAAGTATAAATGCTGTTAGTTTAAAAAAAAAAAATGAGCAACGCTCATAAATATTTATCAGGCTAACTGAGAAGTGTATGTAATTTATGAAGGATTCTAAGTGACGTAAATTAATGTCTAATAAATAAAAGTGAGTGTTGTGAATTTTTTTCTTTTTTTTTAATAATATAATTAATATGTATCGTATTTTAGTTCGGAATTAATTTATGTATTATATATTTTAAATAAAAGGCGGTTATGAATTTAAACGTTTTCTTTTAATTTTTAACATTTTTATAGTCATGTATGTTGGTTGGGGAAAGGATAACACAAACTGAATTTCGCAGTGCACAATTTGAGCAAGATGCCTAGATGTAGTGCTCTGTTGGCACATGTTTAGCGATTTATAAATCCGGCATTAGATCTTGAGGATATGAATTTTTGACATGTACATTGATATTCCATAATTCATGAGTTAGTGACAACAAATATTTGCTATCTCAGTTTCATTGTTATGCTTCACTTGTTATGTCGAAAAATATATTTGCCAACTTGAAATTGTCTATTCTCAATTTGAAATTGGTTAGTCCAACTTGAAATTGTTTAGTATCAATTTGATTATTCCTAACTTGAACTTGAAATGTTATAGTTTATTCTCATTTTTTTCGGTTGTATATTTTGTGTGCCTTTTTCTTAGCATTGTAGATGAAATAATGAGAATATTGGAGGATTTTAAAGTTTTTTCTATGCATATTTCTTCTTCGGGTAAGTATTAAGTGATGCAAATTCTTAGTGCTCTTAAATAGAATCCTATAATTATTCCAGGTTTTATCTTGTTACAATGGTGAGAATAAAAACTGATGAGGTCATTCTTGTTGATAGACTCTGATGGGGGTTGGACGTTTGTTAACAAAATCGGGTAAAACTATGTGTTGTAGATATATTAATATTTAAACATTCTTAAAAACTAAAAACATTTTAACTTTTGTTTATAAATACTTGTTGCAAAATAAAATCCTTGATAAATTGCAAACCCTCATACGACAGGAGAGTCCACCATATATATATATATATATATATATATATATATATATATATATATATATATATATATATAATGGCGGGCTCTCCCGTTGTATTCGACGAATGAGGGTCAGCAATTCAGTTCCTAGGAACCGACAGCCAGACACCAGCACATATGATTTGATTATAGTGATGAGGGCTTTGTGCAGAACCAACCACACTTTTTGAAGGGCTGAATACAGAGACCTGGTGCACTACGTGCCACAAGGTCCCCTAACGACCCTCCGCAGGTTTTGAATTCAGAGTTGTCCTTCTTCTAGACGAGTTGCCACCCAAGGAGGGAGAAGAAGAGGCTTCATACCTTGCTATCATACCTTTCTCAAGCACGTAAATGAAATTCGACTCTCCGAGCCGCTATCCACTATATATATATATATATATATATATATATATATATATATATTCAAAATATGCATGTTATAACATCACTACAAAAAATTGCAATTTTCTTTCAACACTTACTGATCAAGTGATTGTGTTGATTGCAAAATAAAACCTTTATTTAACCCTTTATTTTGCCATCAATACCATTACTTGATAATGCACCAAACAATTCAAGTGTTGAAACAAAATTGCAATTTTTGTCGTGATTTTATAAGATGCATATGTTATAACTTTGAATAAAATATTATTTGCTCTGCTCTGTATTGAGCACTCTTTTAGGAATAGTCTTTTTGGTTATCGGAATTTTATTCTTCTGTACCAACTCTGTACTTGTATATATATATATATATATATATATATAGGGGTGGACGAAAGAAGATAGATGACTTCTATTCTGTTCTTCTTTGTCACTCTCTTTAATGTAATCTGTCTTTTCCGATATCTCTTGAAACTTACAGTTCGCCTTCTCATAAATACAAGGAACAGCGATGGAATTTTGTCTTCCTAATCAAAATATTGCCTACAGTTTGAAGAATTACGTTTAGATCGACAAAGATAATTGGTGTTAGTTTATTCTGCAACTTTAATCTGAGGCTTATGTGAAGAAGCAAACGAGGTAACACTGACACCTGGTGTCGATGACCATAACTTACAATGATGATGCATTCCTATATAAATCCTATTCACTCGTTATTTCTATCTCCCACTGTCCCTCTTTTTTCTTCCTCTTTCCCTCTCTCTTTTCTCCCTTTTCCCCCACTCTCTTTTCTTCCTCTTTTCCTGTCTCTTTTCTTCCTCTTCTCCGCTCTTTCTTCTTCCTCTTTCCCTCTCTCTTTTCTCCCTTTTCCCCCACTCTCTTTTCTTCCTCTTTCCCTGTCTCTTTTCTTCCTCTTCTCCGCTCTTTCTTCTTCCTCTTTCCTCTCTCTCTTTTCTCCCTTTCCCCCCTCTTTTCTTCCTCTTTCCTCTCTTTTCCTCCTCTTCTCCTCTTTCTTCTTCCTCCCCCCCTCTTTTCTTTCTCCCTTTCCCCCCACTCTCTTTTCTTCCTCTTTCCCTTCTCTTTTCTTCCTCTTCTTCCTCTTTCTTCTTCTCTTTCCCTTTTTTCTCCTTTTCCCCCACTCTCTTTTCTTCCTCTTTCCCTCTCTCACCACCTATCTTCCTGAACCCTGTTCTTTTATTTTCCTTTCTCCTCGCTTCTCACTAATGTCTTCTAATGACCTAGTGGCATTGTCGCCTTGATTGGGTGAAAAGATTTTTTTTTTTAAATTAAAAAAAAATCATATCAATCGATTTTCGGTTTCATTATTTCCTCTTTTTTTTCCTTTATCTATCGGATGTCAACTTGTCTACCGCAGAAAGAAATGGCAACCTACTGCGGGAAAAAATATGCCTCGTCAGTCATGTACCGAAAGATATATGATCTCCTAAGCGTGTATCACGCATAGAACATAACTAACTGTTAGCTCTCTCTCTCTCTATCTCTCAATCCGTTTCCTCCTCTTTCCTTCTTTACCCAAATGTTTTCTGATGTATCACCAAGTGAGATCATTCCTATATATGTATGCATACATATATAATGTACGTACGTATATATACAGTACGTCTGAAGTTATTATGCAAATCACATAAACCTCAATAACTCGAATTTGCCTTGAATTTTCAGATTTTAAACACTTTAGACATCAAAACAAAGCTCCAGTTAAATTTTTAGGTAGTTTCAACATGTTGTATAAAATTGTTGGATTTATTATAAAAATTGCCGTCTGAATTTATTATGCAAAACCAGAAAATCGCTTTTTACTTCAATAACAAGGTAATAAAATCAACAATTGACTAACACCTACGATAGAACAGGTAACAAATATATTTCTTTGAAGAATTTATATCTGAATATAGTGACCCTAATTCTGAATAACAGCCAACAATCTATCATTTATTGATTTATTTTATTTTTTACTTCAGCAGGTTCAATTTCTGACATAGTGATTTTAACTGATTTCCATATATATATATATATATATATATATATATATAATAATAATAATAAATAAATAAATAAATAAATAAAATGATAATAATAATAATAATAATAGACTCTCTCCCGTCGGTTTCGACGTATGAGGATCTGACAGCTTCTTGATTCAGTTATGAAATTTTGTACGATAATCTTAAGTGGCATTTAAGACCCGCTAGTGATTTACAAAGGAGGCCACATATGGAGCCAGTGTGAGGATTGTGAGATGAGATCACTGTTAGATTGGCTGACCTTTTAGATCTTGCTCTCGCTTTTTGAAGATGATTCAGACAAACAGATTGAAAATTGCTGAGTCCACTAAAACACATTGATCTCCATTCTATCCGCTCCAAGGCTAAGCGATCGAGGGTGTTATGTGGTATATTGACTGCTGACAAGTTGCTTTTCAGCTTGTTTTTGTATCTTAGCCATGGGCGTCCTACATTCTTGTAGCCCTGATCTAACTGGCTGTACATTAGGATCTTGGGTATCCTGTCATCAGACATTCTCAAGACATGACCAGTCCACCGTAACTGAGACTGTATGATAAAAGTCTCGATTCCTCCAATATTACACTTGTTAAACAGGTCTACGTTAGATGTCCTATCTTGAAGCTTAACTCCACAGATTGCACGCAGACAGCTTTTATGGAAAACATCTAGCTGGCGTATATTGTACCTGTATAGAGTCCACGACTCTGAGCCATACAATATATATATAATTTTTTTTTTTTTTAAATATGATTACGCCGTGACACAAAAATGACTATGTTTCGAAACTTGACTCAAGTCCTAAAGTTTAATTTCAATATTAAACTTAAAATTTAGAGCACAGTTTCATTCTCAAGCGATGTTTAGATGTTTTATTCGAAACATCGCTTTAGGACTTGAGTTAAGTTTCGAAACATAGTCATTTTTGTGTCGCGATGGAATCATATTTTTAAAAAATATTTATAACTTAAGCTTTACTTCTGTATCGAGCACTGATTTTTTTAAAATAAAAATATAAGTATTAAAGAACACTGGATCATTAATCTAACTGTTCCTTCCTATTACATCAATACACACACAAACACACACACACACACACATATATATATGTCTGATTTGCTCTTATATTATTTGACGCCTTCATATAATTTCATCTTCATAACTGTTGTGAGACCGTAACATACCTACAACATGGACTCTTCCAGGATTATATAAAGTATGCGATATAACACTCTAGGAGAAGAGGAGGAAAGAGAGAGAGAGAGAGTATTCTAATACCGTAGTATCAGCCGCGTACGACTACCAATATTGGACACTAGCACATAGTAAGCTCCGCTTACACTTACACTATCTTTGTAACCTTTTTGTTTAATACATATTTCTTACCTCTAATCCGTGTTCCGTGTTTTCCTTCCGTGGTCCCAACTTTGGGTCCACATCAATAACTGACTATAGATTTTCGATCAGATTTAGAACGGGACTTGATGGTGACCATTTGATTATGTTCTCTCCTGTAAACCTTTTACGCTCAAAAAATTCCTTGGAAAACTTAGAGACATGAGAAGAAATATTGTCATGCATAAATACATACTTCACTTTGACTGGCACTTGTACCATTCAAAAGAATTCTTGTCCTTGATATCGCAATAGTTAACACCG